GATTCTGTCTCCTGCCAGTTATTCGTGTGGCGTAAAATATTTTCTCTTTAGTCATGCGAAAAGAGTATTTTTTTTATTTTTTTTACTTTTTAAACATTATTTCTGTAAATGTATTTCTCTTTCTTCTTATAGCGAAAAGAGTACTTTTTTTTTTTTTTTTTTTTTTACTTTTAAAACATTATTTCTGTAAATGTATTTCTCTTTCTTCTTATAGCGAAAAGAGTACTTTTTTTTTTTTTTTTTTACTTTTTTACTTTTTAAACATTATTTCTGTAAATGTATTTCTCTTTCTTCTTATAGCGAAAAGAGTACTTTTTTTTTTTTTTTACTTTTTTACTTTTTAAACATTATTTCTGTAAATGTAATTATTCTCTTTCTTATTTCTGTAAATGTATTTCTCTTTCTTCTTATATACTTTTTTTTTTTTTTTTTTTTTACTTTTTTACTTTTTAAACATTATTTCTGTAAATGTATTTCTTTCTTCTTATAGCGAAAAGAGTGTATATGTATTTCTCTTCTCTTATATTGTTGATGAATTCGCGTGAGATTTTAGACTGATATAAAAGGAGATTAGTTCATTTAGCAATACCGGTCTTATTGAAAAAAAAAATTAATATGACTCTTTGACATGGCAATACAACTACACAAAATCGATATAGAAATATCAGTCTTATATATAGTAACGAAGTGAAACTCTGTGATAATAAGTACGATTGAAATTAATCAACAACGAATTTTGAATATGGAAGATTTTTAAAGATTATGAAGATGGAAGATTTTAAAAAGACTTTGGAGATTGCAGAAAGACATTAAGTTTTATATCCCAATATCTCATACCTTGAGTTTGATATTCCTATGACACACAGCTGATAAAAAAAGCCAGGTAGTGGCAATGACCGCTATAGACAGGTGGGCCGAGTATCTACAGGTGTGCAAACATGTGTTCCTAATCACACATATCCGGTGTTTCGTTTAAAGTCACTTTCACACGAGGAAAGAATTTCATTATACTAAGCAACACCTGTGTAATGTGTTTTTGTTTGTTTGTTTGGTTGTTTTTTAACACATGGGGTGATTTATTTTTATGCGCAAGCGATGTAGATGAATATAAAGAAAGGTAAAGGTATACTGATATAAAATGTATATATATATATATATATATATATATATATATATATATATATATATATATATATATATATATATATATATACATATCTATCTATCTATCTATAAATATATATGATTATGAATAGATGATAAAGATGAAGTGAATGAAACGTAAGTAGATATAGAGAATGATCGAAATATTTAAAGCGATAGATAGATAAGGTAGATAGGTAAACAGACAAAGAACAGATAATAGAGAGGATGGAAGTTGATAATTTGAAAGGCAGTTAGAGAGAAAGATAAGTTAAAACGATTGAATTTACCGACAGATAGATGAAGCCAGAGACACAGAATAATTTCCAAACAGATTGATAAATAGAAGAGATATAAAAAAAACATAACAAAATAACTGATAAATGTATTGTAAACGCCCAAAACAGTAAGAACAAACAAATTGAAATCTGATATATTACTATGTAAATTGATCAGCATAAAAACACATATAAAGATAGTGGCATCTCTACACACCACCGAATAGAAAAAAAATATAACCACATACTTAAAAAAAGAAAAAAATATATACAAACAACTTAAAAAAAAAAAAAAAAAAAAAAAAACTGACGTGACTTCAAAAGATGCTCTCAATAAACCGATATGACATCGCATAAATACCGCCTTTGCTTACGTCATGAAAACTTGTTTACGACAAGTGTTCCATGAGGAAGAGCAGCTGTTCGTCACGAATGTTATGTGATGAAAAACATATTCCTCATCTTATCGCGTTTATAGGGAGAGGGAGAGAAGAAGGGGGGGGAGGGGAAGGAAGAGAAGAAGGTGGGCGGGAGGAAGAGGAGAAGGGGAGAGAAGGAGGGGATGAAGAGGATGGGGAGAGAAGGAGGGAGGTGAAGAGAGGAAAGGAAGAAATGAAGGGGGGTGGGAGGAAGAGAAGAAGGGGAGAAAAGGAGGGAGGTGAAGAGAGGAAGGGGGTGAAGAGAGGAAGACCTTTTTTTGACTTTGACACGTTTATTGAGACAAAAGTAAAATTAGAGGAAGGGGAGAGAAGGAGGGATGAAGAGAGGAAGGTGAGAGAAGAAGGAGGGATGAAGAGAGGAAGGGGGAGAAAAGAAGGGGTTGAAGAGAGGACGGAAAGAGAAGGCGGGGGTGAAGCGGAGAAGGAAGAGGGAGGGGAGGTGAAGAGAGAACGAGGAGAGGAGAGAAGAGGAAAAAGAAAAAAAATAGATAGACAGATAGATTGATAGTAAAAGATAAATAGACAGACTGATAAATTTACTGATAAAGAAAGGGGTGTGAGATAAATAGAGGGAGAGATTAAGAGAAATTAAGAGAGAGAGAGAGAGAGAGAGAGAGAGAGAAGAGAGAAGAGAGAGAGAGAGAGAGAGAGAGAGAGAGAAAGAAAAGAAAGAAAGAAGAAAGAAAGAAAGAAAGAAAGAAAGAAAGAAAGAAAGAAAGAAGAGAAAGAGAGACAGAGAAATATATATAGAGAGAAATAGAAGAGAGAGACAGAGAAATATATAGAGAGAGAAATAGAGAGAGAGACAGAGAAAATATATAGAGAGAGAATAGAGAGAGAGAGAGAAATAGAGAGAGACAGAGAGAAAAAGAGAGAGAGAGAGAAATAGAGAAAGAAATAGAGAGAGAGAGAAAAAAAGAGAAAGAGAGAGATGAACAGATAACCTCGACATATTGATCAGACAGGACGTAGCCCAGATCAGAATACACAAGCTGTATCCATTCTATATTCAGGATAATCTAGCTGTCACATATCCGCAATGACACAGCGTCGTCTGGGTTCCAATAGGCAGCATCGACATGACATTATTCGCGAATATTTCAAAAGCATGAATTTATTCGCTACATAAATAGACTTCTCCCTCTTTGACTTTGATAAGTAACTATGTCTGGGTGTTTGGTAAGTATAAAATGTATGTATACACACTTATGAACAAATATAAATAAATACACACACACACGTGATGTACAAGACCTTTTCACATAAAAAATAATTATATATTCTTAACTATCAAGTTTTATCATATAAACAAATAATAACAAATATGTGTCACATCACAAGGTAAATCTTAGCAATAAACTTTGTAACAAAAACATGTAATATTCTCTCCAACTAGCTTAATTCACGTCTAAGGTTAAATCTATTTTGCATACACTCTTTACCTACCAATTAAAAGTCAATAATCATTACTTAGAACATAACAAACAAACGTGAGACGGAATCAACACACCCACGGCCATTTTACCGGTATCTTTTCGTTTTTTAATTGTACATAAAGTAATCGATCCCCTTCTAATAAATCATCTTGATTTTTCTTCCTTTTACTCTAATAGATAATTTACTCTGATAGATAATTCCGTTGTCAAACTATTCCTTGATACCAATGTCTCATTTGACTAATTGCGTTGCTGTATTCGCAGGCAATAAAAGAAAAAGAAAAGAAAAAAAGAAAAAAAAATAACAAGGCAGGGCTCAGAGAGAGAGAGAGAAGAGAGAGAGAGAGAGAGAGAGAGAGAGAGAGAGAGAGAGAGAGAGAGAGAGAGAGAGAGAGAGAGAGAGAGAGAGAGAGAGAAATAAATAAAGAGACAGACAGACAGGGACAGAGAGACACGTATTAAACACCCCCACACCCCCGAGCGCTTCCATCTACCACCACCTCCCCCCTTTCCCCTCCTCCCCCTCCCCCGCTCCCTCCACCCCCCCGAGGCACACAGCTGGCAGACCCATCCAGATTCCCAGTTCCCTCGCGCGCGGTTCCGAGGCAGCCAAGTTCCCCCCTGAATTATGCCTGTTATTACGCCAAAAGCCAGAATCCCAGAGTTTATTCTCCTCCCGAGGGATTTATGCGACGCCGCTCCAACTTGAGGGACCTTTAATATCTGTCTACGTCTTCCGATGCCTGGCGAGGAGGGAGGAGGGGGGAGGGGGAGGAGGGGGTGGAGGAGGAGGAGGAGGGGAAGGAGGGAAGAAGAGGAAGGAGGGGGAGGGGGGGAAGGAGGAGGAGGAGGAAGAAGGGGAGGAGGAGGAGGAGGGGTGGAGGAGGAGGGGAGGAGGAGCAGCGACCGTCCGCCTCCAAAGCCCAAGAGCATCCAACCCCAACGCCTGTTCCTCGGCGCTGCTCCGACGCGTGAAAGTTTCCTGGCGACAGAAATGTTTCAGGCTTTCACAGTAACCGTTACCAAGTTTCCGCTTCAATCTTGCAAACTTACACACTCACATACGCATACAAGCGCTAAACACATTAAAACACGCATACAAACACTTGACACACGCACACACACACACACACACACTCAAGAAACACACACACACTCAAGAAACACACACACACACACACACGAACTGTACACAACACGCACACACCAAATACATTTTTTTTACTGTGCAAATAAAATAAAATTCCTCTCCCGCAGCTCAGGCCGCCAAGGAGACAGCGTGGAAATTCCTAATGAGCAAAGTGCGCTTCTTCCCTTAAGGAGAATCAGATACGCAACACTTTACAAATTTGTCGATGATGCTTACTTATATCTGCACCTGTTCATTTATTCATCTGTTCATGTGTCTATCTATCTATCTGTGTGCATTGTCCTCTTTACCTATTTATGTCCAGAGTCCCAGCTATCTGTCTGTATGCATGGTCCTCTTTACCTATCTTGCCCGTGTCCCAGCTAGTCTGTGTGCATTGTCCTCTTTACCTATCTATGCCCTGTAGCTATCTGTCTGTGTGCATGTCTTTACCTATCTATTCCCAGTGTCCAGCTATCTGTCTGTGTGCCCTCTTTACCTATCTATGCCCAGCTATCTATCTGTGTGCATTGTCCTCTTTACCTATCTATGCCCAGTGTCCCAGCTATCTATC